CTATTTAAAATAGCATTTCCTTTATCATGCATTTCTCTTCTGCTTCCTAATTTTTCAACAATTCCCTCACAAATCCAGGCTTCAATTAGGTCTTTTCTTCTAATCTCCCAATCTTCCGGATACAATGAGCAATATAAGAAACACTCTTGGATGCTTGAATTTTTTGGTTGACGGTCATAACTGAACTTCAAACGATTAAATATCTCATCTTCTGAATCTGTCTCTGTGTCCACCATACACTGACGCAATTCACGTAATGCATCTCTCCACTCAGAAATATCTTGTACTCCTCTCATGCTCCCCGCAATGACAACAATGGCCAATGGCAAACCAGCGCATTCAGCCACCATAAACTTCAAAATATCTTCCAAATTGGGAATTCGTAGAACATCTTGCCCAACCATATCTAAAAACAAGTTCAAAGACTCTTCCTCTGGTAGAGGTGGTACTTTAACTACCTCACATCTCAAGTAGTTGCATACATCAATCGATCTGCTAGTAATAACAATTTTACACCCATTTTCCATTGTTGGTTCAGGGATTCCAATTCTTTGAAGAGTAAATTTATCCCACACATCATCTAAGATCAGTGCATATTTAACTTTTTTCATAACCTTCATAAGTCTTGATGCCCGGTTCAATTCATCCCACCAATCTGAAAGACTTGTGTTCATTGCCCTAGCAATGTCATCTTGCAATCTGAAAACGTTGAGAGGATGTGATACTGTAACCCAGACGACCTTCTCAAACCTGCCAGCCTCATTTAGTAATTCATTATGGATGTATTTCATAACAGTGGTTTTGCCAACTCCACCAATTCCACAAACTCCAATAATTCCAACCTCGTGACCCATTAAGTATTCCCAAATTTTTTCCTTCACATTGACCTCGCCCACCATATTCTCTATTGGCAAAGTGATTCCAATAGCTGGAGACCTTTCAATTACAAGACCTTGAGGGAAACTACCTCGATCGTAAATTTCCCTCACTTCTTGAATCTTTTGACGAACACGTCTTCCAAGGTTACCACGTGATAAGTATGAAACATTCTGCACCTGTTCTTCAATTTCTGGCATTTCAATTTCAATGACCTTCCTTGCATCTTCAAGCCATCCCTCCACTTCTTCTTTAACTTGTTTTTCCAAGTCATCCACTATTTGTAGTTCTGCTACTCTATCATTTCTTCTGCGTTTTAGAACTGCCACTCTTTTTCTGAGATCATCCACATCATTTTGGAAGTTTCTGTGGCAATCTACATGTTCGCCTACTACACTTTCAAGAACTGGGGCTATAACGGACTCCATGAATGAAATTTCTAAAATGAAAAAGAAAAAAAAAAAGGCGTGTCATTAAAATGTTGGTTTGGCAGCGTATACTTGCGATGACCAAAGAAAAGTTAGTGTATTCTTACAAGCAAGGAAAAAAAAAAAGAAGAAAAAAACAAAGAAGAAGAGACGAACTCTATTTATATTTTGTATATTAATTTTTTCTAATTAATATCTTCACAATTTTTTACTTTCAATAATTTTTATAATTTAAAATTCATAAAAAATCTAAAAATTAACAGTAAAATCTCCTATTTACACTAATAATTTAGGATTTTTTTTTGTAGATTTTAAATTACATATAGAATGTATTGACTGAAAGGTATTAATCGTAAAAAATATAATGTGCAAAGTATAAATAAGAGATTTAGCAAAAATAAAGGAAAAAAATAAATAAGTATATATTTTTTTATTTCATTCTCTAAAATTTTACAATGTTAAAATATCTAGTGTTGTAATTGGTTTTCTATTTCTAAAAAAAGACTGACAATAAATTCAAGCAGTAGTTATTTTCCGATGAAGTAAGAGTTTTAATAGGGCTTTGCACT